CCCGATCCTTCTTTCCGGCAATAATGTGGCTTATGTTATGCTTTCTTCTGGTTTTGATTTTTTTTCCAAAGCCCAACCCATAAAGGGGCAAAATCAATAGAGAAAAGCTTATTTAAAAAGTAAAAAATAGTTGATAACATTTTGAAGAAGATTTGAGATCAATATAATTATTTACTTGATATAACTCTCCTTATTTATGCTATGAATGAGTTTTAGTCTTAGCTTAGACATAGATATTATAGTAATATGTATTAAATTGTTGTCCATCTAGATGTCTATTCTGAAAAATCTATAAACTAATATTATAGTAGTTGCTTGATCGTGGGTTAGTGTGTCTGCTTTTAAGACACCTCACGTAAGTTTTTTGCATCACTGCATTCGTTGAATATTTTTATGTATGTTTTGCCCTCTTTCTACCAGATACATGTTTGCCATTTTCACGTTTTTTCACCAATAATCTCTTGTTTTGATAATTTTCTTTCTCGGCTTCTTCTCTTCTTTAAAGCTACTTCCTTGCTCTCAGCATCCCCCTCAGCATCTAATTCATAATTATCTTCTTTGCTTCCTCCTTAGATTGTGTTCTCTTCATATAGTTATGTATTCTTCCCAGCAGACTCAGCCCAACGTTTAGGGTCATCAAAAAATTTTAATACCTAATGAGCCAATCAAACAATATAAAGACATGTCTCCCAATATAACCAAAGGTTACACTATCAAATTAAAGTACTCACTTCATCAAATACTTTGTTAATGATATTTTTGAAGGGATTAAGAGACTGCATCTCTAATTGGAGATCTTCCTCTAAAATTCGACGAAGTGAAGCCATCGTTGTTGTCCTGTAAAATAAAACAAGCCATTACTAAAAAAACAAGTTCATCTTCATAAGCTATGAAAGAGGAAACTTATAACCGAAATTCCTTAATTGCAATCAGTAACTCACTTTGCATTAGCCTTAATATAAGAAGATCTTTCTCTAAGGGCTCTCCTAATATCACTCTGCGTGATTTCTTTATCTCCCTTGCCCTTCCTATCTTTAGCTACTCTCTTGGAATTGTTCTCTTTTGTCCGAAGAACCATCACACCGGAACATTCTATTCCCTAATAACAACCACTATTGTCCCTAACATCTTTCTTTTCTCCATGCTCTTCATACAGTTTTCTCTCAGTTTCTTGAGGATTTTCTGAAACATCATCATCATCAGCTTTTTCTAAGTGCTTCCATCAACAATGACACATTAGTATTCAAAGGTGACACTGACATGAGAGGTCAAATGGTTATTGTAAAAAGAAAAATGCTTGAACCAAATTCATTTTAACAAAGATCTTATGATATTCCAAAGCATATTTCTCCATTCCCATACATTCCTCAAACATTCTTCGAACATTCACGAATGTGAAGGAGCTATAAAATAATAATAAAAAAACTGTAAATGATTCTTTTATTCATGAAAAGTCATCCTCATCTGAATGTTTTGCATTATCGGAGAGAGAACCAAAATCGTTTCGACGCGTTAACTTACATGGCAATGGATATCCATTTTCATGTAGTTAACGCGCCGAAAAGGTGTGAGTTATCTCTCCAATAATGCAAAACATCCAGATGAGAATAAATTTTGATGAACAGGAGGAATGTTAAAGGAATAACTTCCGAAAAGGTAGCTCCTTCACAGTCTTGAGTGTTCGAAGAATGTTAGAGGAATGTATGGAATTGGAGAAATATGCTTTGGAAGATCATAAGACCTTTGTTAAAGTGAATTTGGTTCACATATCTTTCTCTTTATAATAACCATTTGACCTCTCCTGTCAGTGTCACCTTTGAATACTAATGTGTCTTTGTTGATGGCAGTGCTTAGATGAAACTGGTCATAATGATGCTTCTGAAAATCCTCAGAAAACCAAGAGGAAACTATCTGTAGAGCAGGGGGAAAAGAACGAGGTTAAGGACGATAATGGTTGTTATGAGGAAATGGAATGTTCTCATGCGAGGTTCTTCTGACATAAGAGAATAAATCCAAGAAAGTAGCTAAAGTTATGAAGGGCAAGGGAAATTAAGAACTCCTGCAGAGTGATATATGAAGAGCCCTTATAGAAAGATCTTCATATATTAAGGCTAATGTAGAGTGGGTTAATGATTGCATTTAAGGAATTTCAGTTAAAAATTTCTTCTTTCATTGCTTATGAAGATGAACTTATCTGTTCAATAATAGCTTGCTTTGTTTTTCAGGACAACTACAATGGCTTCACTTCGTCGAATTTTAGAGAAAGATCTCCAATTAGAGATGCAGTCTCTTTATCCCTTCAAGAATTTCATTATTAAGGTATTGGATGAAGTGAGTACTTTAATTTGATTATGTAACCTCTTGGGTATATTGGGAGAAAGTCCTTATATTGTTTTATTGGCTTGTTAGGTATTAGAAATTTGTGATGCTCCTAAACGTTGGAATAAGTCTGCTAGGAAAGAACTACATAACTATATGATGAACCAAGACACATCTAACAACACATGCTGGGCTATGATCCCGTCGATGGTGTTTACAAAGTCTTGTGTATGAACTCAAGGTTTCCTTTCGTACTGCCGCGAAAAGAACCTAAGAATTTTTTTGAGGTTTTGACATTGGGAGATGATCATTCCAGCTGGAAGTTGACTCAAGATAGTCCTACTCATATGCCTTACATCAATATATACTCACATATGCATCAATGGTGTTTTATATTATGATGCTTATATTGTTCAGACCTAAGATCAAAACTCATAACTCGAGATTCCTTAAAGTCAAATACATAAGCATCATAATATAAAACACCATATGATGCATATGTGAGTATTGATGTAAGGCATATGAGTAGGACTATCTTGAATCATCTTCCAGCTGGAATGAGCATCTCCCAATGTCAAAATCTCAAAAAAATTGTTAGGTTCTTTTCGAGGTATTACTAAAGAAAACCTTGAGTTCATACGCAAGACTTTGTAAAGACCATCAACGAAATCATAGCCACATGCTAGATGTGTCTTGGTTCTTCGAAATCAGGCTACGTGGTGGATAATTATTATGTAGATGATGAGGGAGATGTGGAGAGCAGAGAAGTAGATGTAAAGAAGGAGAGCTATATCAAGTGTTTAATTCTACTGATCTCAAATCTTCTTCAAATGTTATCAACTATTACTGAATCATCATTAAACTACTGAATCTCCAATAAAGGAAACAAGAGAACAAAGATCTTCATAAAAGTGTTTTCTACTTCATAAAAACAGATCATCTAAAAATGGCAGTAGCAATATGCAACAAAGATTAGTAATAAAGTCATGAAAACAAGAACAATGAACCATTAAAGCTATATACAAGAATTTTGGCTTTTAATAGCGGCCAAATAACGCTATTTAACAATTCTATAGCATTTTAAGAAAAATGCTATATATATCACCGCACGCTACCATAGGTCTGCCACTTAAATAACAGCTTTTTGTGATGCAATTTTAATAGGATATATTATAGTGGTTACAAATATGTTATATATATTAACATTTTTGCAGCAATTTATGAAAAAAACCTTTGGGTTCAAACTTATTTAATTATTTATATGAAATATGGAAATAATCATATTTAACAAAATTCCTAATATCTTTCCATAATAAATATACAATATTATTTTACTTATTTTTCAATTCATTTTCTCAAATTTTTGTCCAATAACTTTATATGTTCTTATTTGTTGTTAATGTATTTTCTTACATAAACAATAAGTACAATAAAAATCCAATTTTTTTTTTTTTGCATATGCTGCAATTTGAATTTTTGAAAACGGACGTATATGTTTAACGGTTGACAATGGTTCATAACCTTAATAAATAGGACCTTATATATGCTTCTAAATACGAATGAGCAAAAAGCTTGATTTCTTAAAAGTTTTATTCCATTTAATCCGGTATTTTATTTGAACAAATTAAACCTTTTGAAAAAGTTTCAAAATATTATAATATATTTAAATTTATATATTATAAATATTTAATCTTTATAGAGTGTTTAAAATATTCTAAATATTTAAACTCTATAAAAGGTACGAAGTATTATTAATATTATAATGTTTTAGATATTATAAATATTTTGAATATCTTTAAAAATCTAAATTTTATTAATATTTTAACTCAACACCAAGTTTAAACTAAAGTATTATTTAACTGCCATAGTTTTAAACGTCGTTTATTTTTTTGGTGATTATATGACGGGACGGGTTGTAAAACATAACGGGTTGTAAGACGGAAAGAATTGTTAATTACATATTTAATGAAAAATATTAAAAATATTTTGATATTATTTTAAAAGTAATATTATTATTATAACTCTGCAGTCTGCACCAATTTTAAACTCAAATATTATTGACCATGCTATAATATGCTTTAAACCAATTATATGACGAGACGGGTTGTAAGACATGACAGGTTTGAATTGATATTAATAAATAAAAATTAAAATATCAATAATCTCATACTTCAATACGGGTTAATGATTTTATTTTACTATTTTTAATAACATCAATATAGGACATATATAATCAAAATAGTTTAAGTAAAGATTAATATTATGTAATCTTAATATTTATTAAAAGAATTCCAACAAAAATTTTAAAAGTTTTATAAATATAAATTAAAAATAAAATGTTTGTCCCGCGGTGTACCGCGGGTTAAAATCTACTTGTATTTATTATGATAGCGTTAAATTAGTGCTGTTAATGGCTTTGAATCAATATATAAATTTCAATTTCTAATTTTAAAGTTTTTAAATTTTTAATTTCAATGATCTATTCGTAATAAACATAAAACCAAATCTTTATTGATATAAAGTTTTAACATAAAAATTCAATGAAACAAGAACAAACTATCTTAAAGAGGAAAACAAAATACAAAGCAAGGTAAGAAAATTAAATTCTTGGTATGAGCATGCTTAAGATTTTACCTTTTAAGCAATCATAGTTCTAAGCCTCCTTATTAACAACGAAATTGTCACTGAAGAATCAAAGTAATTACTTGGTGGGTGAATTTTGACTAGTATGAAAAAACTGAAGATCTTGACTGTTTTATAATATCTGGTAAGAAAATCACCTCATTAAGATTCAAATCTCCGAGCATAATCTTCATCTGCCTCCAGCTAGCAAACTTTGAGATTCTTCTACACCAAAGAACAAAAAAGCCATAAAATAAGACAATCAAAAGGCAAGTTAGGAATTTTGAGCTTGATAAAGAATAATGAATTGTTAGTGAGGAATAAAAGCAAACACTTTATGGGTTTTGTTCTTCCTCTCGTTTGGTTAATCTCACAACCCAAGTGAGAAAACATTCTTGCACAGATCTTATAATAAACCTACAAAATCAGCTAACCCAGAAACAAAATTCAACTCAATACTTAAAAACCCATACACAATATCAAATTAATCGAGAGAAGGAAGAAATTCTTTGAAGAGAAGGAAGAATCCAAAATGTTTCGGATCTGAAGAATTAGAGACGGCGGAGAAAGAAGAGATTCAGACGATGGAGTGTGTGAATTTGAGTAAACAACGCCCAATCTAAGATTTAGAGGAGTGCTTGCATCATCATCGATTATTGTGCCAGGATTGCTGGGAAGAGAGAGAGAGAGAGAGAGAGAGAGAGAGAGAGAGAGAGAGAGAGAGAGAGAGAGAGAGAGACTACAGCACAAGATTTGATAGGGTTTGTGTTGTGGTGTTTCTCATAGAAGATAAGACTATGTGTTGAAGAAAGGACATGAGACTATGTGTTTGTGTGTGTCGTTTAAGTGTTTAGGTCAAATATTTTCTTCTATTAGGTTTTTTGCTTAACTTGGGTGGACACAGGCCTGGCCCACTACACAATCAGGTGAAGCGGTGGATTCAGGCAACAAAGTATATGGGACATATTTTACATTTTTTATATAAAAAAAACATCTAAGCCTTTTATATATTCATTTTTATTGGGCTTTTCTTAATTTCTTTTACCATATGTTGTGGGCTTCAAATTTTTCAATAATTAAAGAATTTCTAATGAAAATTTTGGTTTAAAATAAATAAAAACCTAAACTGCTTGCATTAAGAAAAATTCAAAATCGACAATTGAAGATTAAGATTGAAGGGTTAATTAAATAAACGAAGGGTACATAGTAATTCTGAAATTTATTTAATTAAAATTTTGAAACTTTTGCTTTCACTAATCCTTGTATATTATTAGTCATTAACCATTGTTTGTGTAAGTCATAAGAGGCATACAATTTTCTTTATAGGATTAAACATCGAAGGAATAATAGAATAATAATTAGATACTTAGATTGTTGGATTATGATTTTTATAATACTTGTTTTGTGATTGTGTAAGTAGAATATATAAAAGCTAAGCGTTCCTACAGATGAATAAGCAAAACTAAGTATGAAAATTCTAAAGATCATGGAAACGTTTAATGCTTGAGGTGTGAAACTTCTATAAATACATGTTATATCTTGTTCTAGGTATTGGAAGAACTAAATGAAATTTCTAAGCTAAGCTAATTGTTGAAGATTCTAATTTCTAAGCTAACACTGTTTCAGTCAAGATTTGAGAACCTAAAACGACACAAAATCAAACAAACCAAACATGAAAAAAAATTATGAAAAACACACAAAATGAACCAATCTAGGAACCATATACATACCTATGTATTAATTTTGTCTTCTCGATAGATTCATACACAAATCCCTAAAAAGCTTGTTCGAAACTTCCTTAATTGTGAAACTTATCCATGATCAATGATCCTTTATCGATACACAACGATACGATCGAAGTAGAAGAATAAGAGGTATGAGAAACCTTGGGTGATTGAGTATATCTATCGAAGAAGAAGAAGTATGAGAATGCTTGATTCGATCGAATCAATGATGAAGAAAATTTGAAAAAATCAGTTTAATTTGGTATTATAATCAATTAAACTGTCTTGGTTTGGTTTTTGTCAACTCATCAATCTATTTTAACCAAACTCAATAAAACCCAATCCAATAAACCCATTAACTCATTAAGACTCAAATTTTAATCTCAATAAGTTTTCGGATTGAATTGGATTGAGTTGATCAATACATTTGGACCCATTTTGAATCCCTAGATACATGGTTACAAGATTGATAGTGAAGGTAAGAAATACTAATGTTTACGAATTTTGTTGACTATTTGTATTTTCTAGTCTTTTTCTACTGGTTATTTTTCTGAATAAATATTTAATAATATTATTTTATTTTTAATGGGTACAACATACTGTTAGTTTCTATGAGACTAAGCTCATAATAGAGAGTAGACAATCACTTGGTGAATGAATCTCTCTTTAACCATACAAGGGAACTCGTTCTTAAAATGAAGAGACCATCAGCTTGTGATGAAATCCACACATATATCCAACAATATATCTGAATATAATAGAGATTAAATCAAGTATATGAAGGAGAAAGCATCTAGTTTGTGTTAGATTTGAGGAACAAGAATGAGAAAGAGATTGGGAGAGAAAATGAATAGTAACCAAGAACAGAAGAGAGAGAGAGTATTGCTCTCCATACTTCATTAGGTTTACAGCCACACATATATGTATGTGGGATAAGGGATAAGCTTACAAGGCAAGCTAATAATATAAATGATGCTAATCTATTTTGTCTTAACATAACCCGTATGTATAGTATAGACCAATGTAGAGACGAGCTTAATGGTCTATACTATCCTAACTTAGTTAATATAGAATAGACCAATATAAAGTAGAACATAATGGTTTATTGTATCTTGACATACTCAATACATACAAAGGTAGAAATCTTGAAAATAATAAAATAAAAGATATATTGTTAATGAATTCAGTAAACCTAGAATCAACCGTAAGCTAAAACATTCACTTGTTTTGGGTTTGGTGACTATTGAATTAAGCTTCAATTCTTTGGGTGGAAGAAGACATGACATGATGTTTATCAGTCATCCTTTTATAAGTGTCTAAAATATAAATTATTATTAAACTTAAATATATTTATATTTTAAAGGTGTTAAATATCTTTGGAAAGGCACAAACTAATTTTTATATTATTTTAACTAGATTTCAATCAGTGCTACACTGCAGGACAAGTATTTAATTTTAAAATTTAAAATTTAAAATTTTCTATTAAGATAGAATTTGTTTTAAAATGATTAAGACTACATTATATCAAACTTAATTAAATCAGCTTGATACGACATGTCTTCTATTGGTGTTGTTAAAAAATAGTATAATGAAGTTTTAACCAATTATAAAGTATAAAATTAATAATATTTTAATAATATCGATTCGAACCCGTCCTGCTTACAAACCGTTTATAAATGTAATTTTGAAGTATTCAAAATTTGTAATAATTGCTTCAATATGGATTTCACATAACAGCTTATTACTGGGAAATTAAACTTATGTTCAAACTTATAGCACTGTCAATAATTTTATTTTAAATTTTCTATAGAGTTTAAAATTAAAGTAATATCGATTCAAAATCGTCTCGTTATACAACCCGTGTATAAATGTTACATTTAAAACTACCAAAATTTGTAATAATTTCTTCCATATCTATTTCGTATAACAACCTATGACCGAGAAATTAAACTCGAGGAAGAATTAGACCAAAGCGGGGTATCTCTCCATACTTATTTATTTTATGTACAAAATCTCTAATTGCGCAATTCAAGCAGGCGTAAAGACTATGTACGATACAAGATCTTCGGGTGGCGTGTGCCAGTCCACGAGTATCCCACCTCCTTTTTGCAAATGATAGTTTATTTTTCTATAAGGTCGATGCTCTCCAAAGCCGCACAGTGATCGATATGATCCGGCTTTATGGTCGTGCCTCATGACAAGAAATAAATCTTGATAAGTCATCTATCATGTTTGGAACAAAGGAAGCCGCCTCAACTCGACATGAAATTAAGACAATATTGGGTATTGCATAGGAAGGAGGAATGGGAATTTACTTGGGCCTCGCTGAAAAGATCCATGGATCCAAGGCACAGGTCTTCGCTTTCGTTAAAGATAAAATGAATAGTAGAGTTAACTCTTGGTCTTCTAAATTTCTATCGAAGCGTGGTGAGGACAAAATCCCAAGCCCAAGCACTTCCGACGTATGTAATGTCGTGTTTCCTATTACCAAAAGCTATATGTACTAAGTTAAATAGTGTAATGGCGCATTTTTGGTGGAGTAATAGAGCCGATAGTAGAGGTATCCATTGGATTTCATGGGACCAAATTTGCTCTCAATTCTCAGATGGAGGCCTTGGCTTCTGAGTTCTATAATATTTCAATCTTGCTCTCTTACCAAAGCAATTATGGAGACTACTTTTTTTTCCAGATTCTCTGCTTAGTAGGGTCTTCAAGGGGAGCTACTTCCGCTATAGTAGCCCCTTGGAAATCTCGACGTCAAACATTCCATCCTATGGTTGGAGAAGCCTGCTTGCTGGAAAAGAGGTTCTAAAATTCATAATTATGAAACCCATTGGATCAGGCTTTGACACTTATGTGTGGACGGACCCTTGGATCCCGGACGGACCCTTGGATCCCAGACACTCCAGCGCGGCCTCCCATTGGCCTCTCCTCTAGTCGGGATCCTTTGATTAGTGTCAACATGTTATCGCGACGGGTATAGTTGGACCTTAACCAAGTCTGGGAACTATTCAGTCAAATTGGGTTACCAAGCCGCGAGAGCTATCTCTCGGCCAGCTAGCGACCTCCCTTCTCAGGGACCCATTGTTACGGCACTCAAGGCGCAAGCTTGGAACTTAAAAACCAGTCGGAAGTTAAAACATCTGGTGTGGCAATGCGTGGCCGGTTTCTTAGCAATATGCCAGAGATTACATTATCGCCATATTGGTTGAGATAAAGAATGCCCTTGTTGTGAGGCGGAGGAAGAGACTATTAATCACCTATTTTTTGAATGCCCTCATGCTCGTCAAGTATGGGCTTTCTCGTCTACCCCCTCGGCACCCCAAATATTTCCAATATCTTCTTTGTATAGTAGTATGAATTATATGTTTTGGAGCGGGAAGGCAAGAGGTGTTTCAGATGAAAGCCTACGAATTTTTCCATGGCTTTTGTGGTTCATCTAGAAAGCACGAAATAAGAAACTCTTTGGTGGTTGAATCCCCACAAGATATAGTGGATAAGGAAATTCTTGAAGAAGCGCTATCGAAGAAAGCCAATACCAAGGACGATCCACAGAATGAGGGTGAGGCATGTGAAGAAAATAGCATCCCTACCGAGGGATGAGCTTGTTTTCTTTATTGATGGCTCATGGGTGGAGATGGACAGTAGAAGTGGGCTTGGGTGAGTGCTCTCGATAGAGGGACGAACCCTTCTACTTGGGTTGAAGTGCTCACCAAGGAGCCTCTCTTCTCTCCATGTAAAACTAGACTCTTTGATTTAGACTTTGAAGGGCTTAGTAGAGCACGCGATCACCCGGATTACTATTGCGACCGATTGCCAGGATTTGGCCAATATGCTAGCCCACATATATGATTGGTCGTCATTTGCCTCAGAGATTCAAGTTTTTACTCTTCTTCGGAAATATTTTATTGTGTTTAGTATTAGGCATATTTCTAGAGCCTTCAACGTCCGCGACGATAAACATGAAAAATGTGCAAGGGCTCGAGGTTTCTGATTTTCTCATGTAGGTCAATCGGCCCCTGTTTTGGCTCTCTCTTGAAAAGATTCAATCTCGATAGACTAGTGTATGGGGTTTGTTGACAAAAAAAAAAATCCAGCAGAAAAACAACCACAATTATTTTAATAAATTGAATAACTTAAA